AACTTTGATAATTTATTGGACCATATTCTTGAGTAGATACTCTACCATTAATGCAAGTCTGGTTATATAATATTATAACAACTTACTACAATTCGTTCAAAGTTTTCAAAATTCTATTTTTAACTTAATTATTAAAATTGATTGAATATTTCAATTTAAGACATTTGGCCCGAATACTCATAACGTTACGCAATAACCCAATTGTTATTGTCTAGTGATGCAGGAGAATTATTTCCACAATTGTGAAAACAATTCTCCGGCACTATCACATGCGCCACATTTGTTTCGTCCTGCGTCATGTTTATTTCGTAGAGATGATTGGTCCTTGAAGTTTGGGATATGCAAAAATAAATGGGCACCGGTTTGGGTTTTGTATTGAGTTTGGGATTACAACAATGGTCGACCTCCAAACCCAAATTAGGTAGAACGTCGTAATTGTCCCATACGGGTTTGGTTTACATCGCTAACTTACATTAATGCGAATAAAATAGTAAATATTCATTGCTTATATTAATAAATGTTTCACACAAAATAATAAATGTTTCACACATAAATAATAAATATCGCATTCATGACCAGGTTTGGATTTCAGGATCTATCAATTACCACTCCTAACATAGGCTTTTACCTAACTCTAGTATTAAATTTTATCCTAACACGTTTTAATTTAGCACATAATATATACATAATTATGCCGACATATACTTTTTTATCAACGATCTAAATTTTACTACATTTGACCTACTGTAAGTCAATGACATGACAATTATTTTCTTAAAGTTAGCCCTAAATGAGATTCACGGCTAGATTAAATAGAGAGCATCGGAAAATAATTGATCATAATAATAATGAAACTGAATTACCTATATATGTATTGTATTTAAAGTTTTAGCAACGAAATGTTAAAGAGAAAAAAAACTTAGCAATAAAATTTATATAAAAATCTTATAGTTATTTTGTATGAATAATATTAATACACTTCTTAAAGAAAACAAGATTTAAGACTTTAATTTTCAAAGTTGAGTTAATTAATTATAAGTCCAAAAGCCTGAAGTTTAGTTTTCTTTTAATAGTTTTCGAATACTAACAAAGAGCTATCGCTTTGTTTATTGCATTTGTACGTACGTTTTTGTTTATATAAGTAATAAACTGTGCTTAATTGCCACGCGCAAAATATTTTCATGCACCAATATGGCTCAGCCTTTCCAAAATCTTTGAAGATTTGATCTTCACTAAGAGTTTTGACTTTCTCCAGGGTTTCTTCTTTCTCCAAGGATTTCGCCGTTTCGCCAGGAGGATTTCGTATTTCGTCATTCGCCGGGTATAGGTTTTGTCTTTAGCCATTTGCGTTAAATGGTTTCACTTAACAACTGTAGATACCATATTTACCTTTTATGGAGCCAAGAATTGGCAGTAATAAGAAGGCCCATATTGAATTGTTTTATTTATTTATTTATTTGTTTGTTCAATTTTTTCATAATATCAACGATTATTTTAAGTAACAGGGTTTATCAAGACCTTTAAAAGTGTATTTTTTTTAAAATCGCATCTCCAATATATGCTATTTGTAATATCTCATTAAATACAATAAAAACAATCTACAATAGTTTAAGAGTTTTATTACGTAGTGCAACTGCATTCAAAAAGTTACTACACATAATACGTCACGAAATGTAGTAATACCCGTCGTGTTATTATGCACATGCAAGGTAACTTCGTTTAATGTATTAATAGGTATTAATAGGCCGTATGTCGTAATATGTGTCGTACGCCGCATGCTATGTATGAATTATATACCATAAGTTAATATAAATTTATAGATTTCACAAATTACTGAACCTAACGCTATTTTCTTTTACTTTCAATTTATTTCACTTCTATTGACAATAAATAAAATAAACATCGATATTAATACGTAAAAAATCGATTACATTTAGCGTAGTGTACACATGTATAATCATTATTACCCAGCATTAGTATTTTAACACGACTGGTATTATTACCTACAAAAAGTTGCAATTCACTACAATCAGTCGCTACAATAACTTCGGTGACCAAAAAAATTACGGCTACCTGCATAAATCAACAATAATTGATACACTTAATAACTTGTATATTATATATATTAAAAACTCACGATTTATCATCATTCTTTCCAATTTTTAATCAAATAAACGTTTTTTTACGCTAGTTTACAAAACTTAGTCAAATTTTCTTGCCGCAATGATAATGAGAATATTAATTTTTATCATTGCCTTTACTAAATTTACTACATGTCTAGGCTCGAGTGAATTTGGTTTTGGTTACAAAACGCCACCAATGGGATGGAATCCTTATAATCAAGTAAATATAATCTGTTCTTTAACGCAAATTATTGTACTAATGAGAAGCTTAACTAACTTTATGTTCAATATTTAAAGTTTGGTACTTTTATCAATGAAGTGATAGTTATAAACCATGCAAATATTATAGCTAATGAAGGATATTTGGACGTTGGTTATAGATATATAAATCTTGGTAAATTAATTTATTAATAATTTTATATTAAGTATACCATCTAATATTGTCGTAATTAAGTATACTATCTAATACTTATTTCTAGATGATGGTTGGCAAATTGCTCGAGGACCACTAGATAAAAAGCTAGTACCCAATCCTGTCCTGTTCGTATTATAAATATATATATATATTGTTAAAAATAAATATGTAAAAACATTAAATTTATAAAAAAACAACCATTTTTAAGATTTCCTAAAGGAATTAAAGGTAATCTATGTATTTTATGCATTACATTCCTTATTATATAAGATGACGGATGCGACTTTGCCATATATATATTTATGCTACAACATTAAGATTAAACTTTAATATTACGTAACTTATATTTAATTTAAATTTAATATTTAAATAATTAACTTGTGTTATATATTCTGTTTTATAAGATCTCTCGAACTATATACACAGCAAAGGCTTACGGTTTGGAATTTATTCAGATGCTGGAAATAAAACTTGTGGTGGACATCCCGGATCACTAGGCAATTATTTTATTTTTATAACATGTAATTAGAATCTCAAAATATGTACTTATATAAGTAAATTATAGGTTTCGAAAAAATAGATGCGAGCACATTCGTAGAATGGGGTGTTGACTATTTAAAATATGATAATTGTAACAATGATGGAAGTCCTGAACAAGACCGTTATAATGTAAGTTATACTTTAAAAGTATTCAAACTTTTACTTTTAATATTAATATTTATCTTTTTTATTTAGCGAATGCGGGATGCGCTGGATTTAGCAACTAAAGGCAATAAAACCCAAATTTACTATAGTATCTGTGAATGGGGGTAAGATGATTTTGCAAGAAAATTTTTAGCAAAACTGTTATGCTTTGTTTAGTTAGATTTATATTAAATTTTATATTTTAATTTTATATTAGAATAAGTAATCCTTGGTTGTGGGGACCTAGTGTCAGTAATAGGTAATTATTCTTATCTAATGATTCCAAATCCTATTATCATATAATAATTTTGCATTGCGAATATAACTTTAGTTGGAGAATTTCTGCTGATATTCAAAAGGTCTGGTCATCAGTCGTATCAATAATAGATTCGCAAGCAAGACTTACTCAATTTGGAGGACCAGGAGGTTGGAATGATCCTGATATGCTTGTAGTGGGCTTTGATTGGATAGCTTTCGAGGAACAAGTAACCCATTTTTGCTTTTGGGCTGCTTTGAAGGCTCCTTTATTACTCGGATGCGATGTAAGTTTTATTTTATAAATTGTTATTTTATAATCATTTTATAAAAATGATATCAATATTTTTTTTAAATTACACTATAGCTCACTAAGATTAATGCGGATGTAAAAAACTTAGTAACAAATGTTGATATAATTTCTGTGAATGTAAGTTTATTTCTTAACGTTAAAATCTTTTCTTTTTTTCTCATTGAAAATCTTTTAAATAAAAGTGTCATATTACAACTCGTTTACCCATGTTTAATTCTGAAAATAGCAAGATCCTCTTGGAAAATCTGTATGTCAGGTTTACTATGAAACTAATGACAAGAGTTCTTATGATATTTGGACCGGACCACTTAATGATGGATATGTTGCAAGTTTGTATTACAAAACTTTCATCCCTTATTCATTCAAGTTATCATATCATAAATATAATTAATTTGATTTATCATCATTTTAGTTTTATTTAATCGTGGAATATCGCCTATAAGTATCACATTAAAATTTAAAGAACATTGTCGTCTTATGGGTGATGTTATGATTCGGGATCTTGTGAAGCAAACGGATATCGGACACTATACTGATAGGTATATTCATATATTACTGTAAATAACTCAATTAATACCTTTTAAAAAGTAATTATACTAATGAAATAAATAATTTTTTTATTAAATAAACCAATTGCTAGTTATACTGCTGCAAATATTCCAAAACATGGTGTGGCATTTTTAAAACTTAGTGGTGGAAGTGCTGTTAATGACAATTCTTCTCCTTGTATTTATAATTCCAAATAATATATAACATAATTAACAAATAATATAATTTAATAAGTAGATTATTAATTTATATAGCTGTTAATGCATAAAACAAATAGGAAGCTTAAAAAAATCTAGGTTGGTACACAGCAAATAGAGTTTTAGGAGGTTCTAATTTTGATTGAGTTGTATATCATAATATTAATAAACACTAATAATATTAATAAAAAGTTTTAGGATTTAAAAAAATAGCAAATTTTGGCTTTTTAAAAAACCTTATATGTGTATCAAAATTTTGAAATCAGAAAAGAAATAAAAGTATTTAGAGATTCTCATTTAACAAAAATAAATAAACTTTTAATGACTAAATTTATTTATTCAACTGAATCAAAAAACTTACTAGACTAATGTGATGATATTTTTTGCTATATGTTTTAAAGCTCTTTTTAGAAATATAATATTTTGCCAAAAAATATCCCCAAACTAACATATTTTGCTTAGAAAAATATATTTTACTTTTCATTAAACCAATGGTCAACTAAAATATACACCAAACTAAAGTATGGTGCCGTAATTAGTTATGTCATGTAAAAATTGTAATAATATAATAAAATCATTAATAAAAATATGTAATAATACAATTTCGACATGACATAATAATTATGGCACCATACTTTACACCAAACCAGAAATTTTTAAAAAAATTGTTTGTATAATTGTTATATATTTAAATTCATTTAATCAATATTACTATTGATTGTATAATTGTTATATTTATTTAATTAAAATTACTATTAACTGTATAATTGTAAATATAATTTTTTCATAAGTATAAAGTATATAATTAGTTTAGTTTTAAATATATTACAGTATTTGATCTATAACTCCTTTAGAATATAGATATCAAGTATATATTAACTTAGTTTTAAGAATATGAGACTTTGCCTTTTTCTTTATACAGTCTTCCTTCTCTATAATCATGCTGTTTGTTTTACACAAATATATGATTATAAAAGAGTATAATTATATAGCATCTACTCTATATAATCACACTTAATAATACAGTATTTCAGCCACCGCCTCTAAAATTATGATGACCTCCACTTCTTGTAGGCCATTTTTAGAGGAGAATGATATAAGTGGACGGGTGGTCAAGTCCATTTATACGGAGGACCAAGATAATGACGGTCAGACCAAACGTACATGGCAAACTATGGAATCCTTCGCAGCTGTGAGAACTGAGCTTAAAATAGCGAGCGACCTTTTAGAAGAACATCCACTCAAGTCATTACCAATATCAATAGACTCCTATGACTTGGAAATATGCTACAACAA